GGAAACTTGCCTCAATTAGTGCTTTCCCTCCTTCATCCCTTCGTTCCAATCCATCCAGATATATATGGCAACCCGTACTAATTGCCCTTGCACTCCTACCCCCCTGCTCTCACCTTCGTCTCTGCTGCCTCCGCTCCAGCTTGAAATATTACCTATGCAATCACAGCTCAGTCATTGACTGGCGAACTCAAAAAAATGGATAGCTGCTGGGAGAATTGCGACTGATGAATCGCGATCAGCCGCTGATTCTCTTGCCGTTGGATTCGTGCCTCAAGACTCTGCCACTGGGACTCGGTCGGAAGAATCTACTGCGGCCATCTCTACCCACCTTTATGAATTCTAACCCCAACCAGCCATGACAAGGCTGAATTTCTTAGAACCCTTGTTCTTTAGAAAGACCGGGAGCTGGGAAACACGCTCACTCATACTGACGGAAGGCATTATTAAGGGTAGCGGACAAGCAGAGGAAGAAATGCACTGGTAGCGCTAACGACCCCCATATCATAAGGGGTCAAAAGTAGACCTTTCCCCTGATCAATCAAGTACCCCCCTGGGAGGGTGGGAATAACTTTTTGGGGTTTTCTTTCATCAATGTTTTGGAATAGTGATAGTCTTTAAGCTGCGTTTACTACAAATGGGCTGAGCCCGGATCTCATTAGCTTGGCCCAACCGGGGGGGACTGGACGGGGGAAATAGCCATGCACCGGAGAACCAAGCTCGCTCTCATGACTTATGGATAGACGTGGGTGGAATAATAGGCGAGCCCTACTAGTACAATAGTCTACGGAACTCAAGGAACCACTCGGCTATTGAGAGACAAAAAAGATTTTGCTCGTAGGCTCTATAGACTCACTCTCTTCACAACGAGAGGAGTTTACCGTGAATTACATCCACCCTCGTTTAGCCTTGTCTTAAACGTTGGCTCCGTGGTCCTAAGTGCTCGTCTTTTTTAACTTCTCCCTGGAACTTATGATCCCTTCCGCTCCGTTCGTTCCGAGCTCGCGAACGAAGTTTTGGCATGTCAAGTCTCTTTTCTTTCAACTCCGCTTGGTGATCGCTCATGGCTAATATAATATAGGTAGGTCCAGAGCTAGCTAGTGTTCAGAAGTCACTTAAGAGATTGAATATAGGTCCTATTAGAATAGGCTGTAGCCGCAAAGAGATAGAGATTCGCATTCGGGAAGGGAACCCTCCGGAGAAGAATTAAGATAATGGATTGGAATTTTGTGAGGGTGAGTTCAGAGAGTTCTGCAAGAATGATGAAATTTTCAGGCATCTCACAGTCATGAAAATACCACAGCAGAACGGTGTGGCAGAGCACATAAACAGAACCCTTTTGGAGAGAGCACGTTGTATGCTTTCTAATGCTGGTTTGTCAAGGGCATTTTTTTTTTGCTGAAGCCTTTTCTACAGCTTACTATTTGGTGAATCGTTCTCCCCATTCATCTCTTGAGTTTAAGACTCCTGAAGAGGTATGGTCTGGTAGCCCTCCCAATTATTCTGATTGGAAGATATTTGGATGTCCTTTTTATCTAGTAACCGGGGTCCAAGAGGAGGCTAGTAAAGGAAAGGCCTTGCTTAGCGTCTGTCCATGAGGCACCCGGGAATCGTAGTAAGCCCGAAAAAGAAGAAGCTTTATCCTACTAATTCCATCCGGAAAGTCAAGTATCCTGCTGCGCGCTAAGCAAGAATCCGTCTCTTGTTGGGTTGATGTTGAGCCTTTTGGGCACTTGCTAGTCAGTCTCACTCTTCTTCCCCACCGGGCGCAGGCTACGCTTTTTTGAACTGTCTTTGTGAACATGAAGAGATGGGATTGAGTTTTCACGCTTTCACTAAGGGACAGAGTATGCCGTCCTTTCGTACCTTTCTGACTTTCTATCCTTCTTTTTGATAGGACAGGTAAGACTTATTTTCGATTTTCCCCAGTTTATCTTTCTGGGTATTCCCACTTTTGAGCTAAAGGGCTTCTTAGGAAGAAAGCAATCCAAAGAGAGTGCGTACTAAGTGCCCCTTCCTTGAACCGGCTTTCTCTCTTCCTTACCGACCTTCCTTAAGCAGGACCCTCACTTCAGTGCGAGAAAAAACGTTTAGGTTTTACCGATGACTGATAGCGTGAGCAAAATCCATAAAATCATCACATTTTGAAGTCCTGGTTCATCCACTCTTTCTTTTTCGATTTCTTCTACCACTTCGAAATCCGACAACTGCTTGTTGATCGAGTCAATCGGGACTGACTTTCCGTAGCTTTCCTCACTGAAGCAATCCTCTTTTCTTGTTCTGTAGTTCACGAGATTGGTTCAGCTTTTCAGTCTTTCAAAGGTGGCTCCTCTCTCTAAACTATCGAAGATGACTGACACTCGAAATCATTGAAATTCTCCTACCCGTCTTTCTTTTAAAGGGAGTAAGTAAAGGTGAGGTCCTGAGAGAGATGCTTCATACATGGCATCCGATTGAAAGAAAGATAGGGGTTGGCAATAAAAGAAAACAGCCATTTCATTATTGACGGGAATCAAGAACTTATTCACTTAAGATATTTTAAGATCTTTCTTTTGAACAGTGACAGAACAGTGATTGACAGGGGACAGGTCGGTGAAGCCTGATCCTTCTAGTGCTGTCATGTCCCCCATTCCATGCTCTAACTCAGTTTCAGTTCCTTGCTTCCCTTCTTTTCTGTTTTGGCTTTAGCTGCGAACTCCACTTTCGGGTTGATCTTTCAATCTGCTAAGGTGTATGACGACAAGCCGGTGTTCCTTTTCATAGTTTCTTCTTTGTCTCCTGCCGGACTCCCTTATTCATCGAGAAAGAGAATGGAGAGAACCCCAACTCCGATAAGAATTCCTTTCAATTCAATAAGGGATCGATCTGACCGTCAAAGGAGAGAAAGATAGTAGGATAGTAGTATGCCTCGAAAGGAAGACAGTCTGCTCTTTCCCAACATCCAGCTCTTTCCTTTCTATTTCCATTTCCCCACGTCCAGGGATTGGTTCGAGTTCCTGGTGAATCTGTTCTAGGCTTTCTAGCCAAGTCCACTAGAAAATGATTCTTGAACAAGAGCAGCGGAATGGATTTTCTATCTAAACAATTTCCCGTTCGCCTGGTCTTTCTTTTTTTTTCTTTAAAAAGCGGGGTCGGGGACTCGATGGCTATTGCGCTTATTCCTCCCACTTGGGATACCGGATACCATATCTTTTGCGATTCTTAACCTAATAAGATAAGGATTTCAAGTAAAGAGCTCCATCCCAGAAAGTCACACCGCTCACTAATCCAATGCTACTCACGTTCAGGCTTTCAAAGCGCTGAGTCGTTTACAGGAAAAGTACTGACTTATTCCCTTTCCCTACGCTCTGCTTCCCTGGTAGAGCTGCTATAAGATAAGCTCTTTTTCGATTTAGTTTAGAGAGAGTAGCTTTCCACGGTCTTCGGTCATCCTTCCCTGGAATTGTAAATATGTTCTCTTGCCTGGTCGGCAGTTGCTTGCTTTTCTTAAGCCAATTGCATTCCGGTCTGAGGGAGAGTCTAGCAAGGGCTCTAATTAATCTGCCCGCTCAAGTGTGGAAAAGCTTCTCAATCGCCGCCTATCTCGCTTGGGCTCTTTAGGCTTACTTTACTTGGGCCAGGTTAAAGATGTGCTTTCAAAGGGCTTTCTTTAATTAGTTCTCTTCCACCGGCTTTTGACCTACATAACACTTCCACAGTCACCAACCAACTAATAGCGACTTCTCCAACCTAACTGATTAATGAGGCTTGAAGTAGATAAGATCTTCATCGACCACCGACTCACATATCCTTGGGGCAGCGATTTATCTCAAAAATGAGTCCCACGTATGTAATACTGGAATATGGAACACACTGACCAATAAACCATCCCATATATATGGGCTAAAATAAAGACTAGGGAAAGGCGAAGACAAAAGCATGGATTGACTTGAATCTACGACGAAACCTGAATCACCCCTGATTGAGCTGTTCCATAAGGAGCTCATATCATCCTACAGAGCAGACATGCCGAAGAAGCCTTTTGATTTCTACGCCCCTTTTCTGTAGGTGGCATCTTTAGTTTCCTAGGTCTCTAAAAGTTCCCCATAAAAGAGTAAATGGGCGCTATTGAGCTGATCTAGTCCCATTTGAAGCAACTATGCAGAGTCAAGCTTAATGGCTATGAGTGAGTTGGTCTATGACCATTTAACTACGTCAAACCTCAATCTCAAAAACCAGATCCTACTAGGTAAAAACCAAGTGTAAAAGTATGGCTAATGAGAGTTACATCTTGATCTCTCTATAAGCTCCAACAATTGCCATATAAATAACTCGGCGGGAGTGGCCTTAGCTTACAGTACTCTTATGAGTGCCCAGAGGGAAGTATTCATGAAGGAAGAGCCAATCATCATCTCTTTGGGGTCTTCCCCCTTCAGTATCTCAAGAAATAGAACAGTATAGAGTACCGCCCGTAAAGAAAGACAGACTAGTTGAGTTGTAGCAGCAGCTACGGCATTTCCCCCACCTCAATAGCTGCTCTAACGGGGGTCTACTTCCATTCATGAACAGCGGAATAAATCAAATCTTTGGGAAACTTTCGAACTCTTTTGTCCCCATTTAGTAAATGGAAATAGATAGGTAATTAGCCGAGTTCGTAGGTGACCCAGGTTAGTAACTGAGTATGACATAAGTCTGAGTCACCGATTCAATTCCATCGAACCTCTTTTGTCCCGAGAAATCCCACTAGGCGATGTAGGTCAGTCGATTATCTACAAGATAAAAGACAAGCTTTCACTAACCTGAGCTCCCAGGCTCACCGATGGCCATTTCTTCCCAAGCGCCTCTATAGAAGTAAGCTCTGTGAGGGCTTGGAGTATCCAAGGTAAAGACAAGATAGACTTTGACCAGACGTGCTCTCCATCTTTTTTTTTTTTCGATCCGGAGGAAGTTATCGCTCTTTCACCTCGTAAACTCGGAATAAAAAAGATTCCTCGCTTTTGTTCAATTATAAAGAAATAAGCACTTTGATGGAGATTTGTAGCATCATTCAAGTAAATACAGATTGAGATCGTAGAAACATGAGCTTGTGATATAGCTACACCTAATTCCAGACCGGTTAATGCAAGAACTATAAATAAAGGACCAGGATCCCCTATGAAATAGAAAAGATCATTCATACATAGCATAGTCCAAGCGGACCCACTTAAAATCTTTACTGAACTATGACCGGCCATCATATTAGCAAATAAACGTATTCCTAAGCTTAATGCGCGAAAACAATGAGGGATTAGCTCAAGTAGTACTAAAAAAGGTGCTAACGGCAGTGGGACTCCTGCGGGTAATGAGAAGCTTAAAAAATGAAGCCCATTTTTTTGAAATCCCACTATAGTAATGCCAATAAAAAGAGAAAATGAGAGACCCAAAGTAATGAGAAAATGACTTGTAACTGTGAAGCTATAAGGTATCATACCCTGAAGATTACGAAATAACGAAAAAGTAAAAGTAACCGAGATGCAAGGGAAAAACTTTTGTTTCACATTTCCGGAAAGACCACCTATTTGTTCGTTTACCAGGTTCGGCACGAAATCATAAATAAGCTCTACCAAGGATTGCCAAGCATTTGGTACTGAGTTTCCTCCTCCCTTTTTAGTAACAAAATGAACAAAAAGTAGGACCAAACTGAGAGTGAGTAGCATAAACAAAGATGGATTTGTGAATGAGAAATACAAGTTTCCTATTTTCATAGGAATCAATGGGAGAATGGAAAATTGCTCAAGTGGGCTGGGAACTATCTCTGCTATATCCAGGACATCCTTATAGGCTTCACCCCCTATTCCGTTTTCCTGCAAATTAGATAGATCCTTCAAACTCTCATTTACTGTAGCATTAGTATTAGAGAGAGTAGAAGTTGTATCACTAGAACTTGAGTGAAGACTATTTTCATCTTTTCGAAAGATGCGTCGAAAGTTGTTAAAAACAGATCCGATCCAATTACCTATTGTTTTAAATACATTAAACATATGGATTGATTGAGACAAATAAATTCCCTCCAGACAGAAAGCCTGTACTATAGGAGTAGTGAAAAATTCTAGTGAGTTGTGGTTGGTTGTTGACCAACGGAAAGCATGGGAGGCTTTATCATTCAGCGCAGTTTCCGCCTATTTCTTAAGGGTGAACTGATCAACCTGCATGTGTAAAGCATATAGCTAGCCTTCCTTTCTGAGCTAACGAGAGAAAATAGATCCGCCTGAAGGGTTCTTAGCCGGCAACAATAGGGCGCCAAGCTGACTGAATAACGGAGGCTGCGGAACTGGTCTGACCAGATAAGAGAGGCGTCAAACTTCTTCTCTCTCTACGCAATAAAATATGGGTCTCACTTACGACGATCTTTCTTCTTAGGAAAGAAGGAAGGTTGCTTCTACGAACTTCTCTACGCTACTGGCATCGCAACTGACATAGCGTCAAATCTAATCCGATCTTACATTACGATATTTCGAGTTAGCTTTCTCCACTTGCTTTCAACTCTCGTGATAGGGATCTACCTACTTTGTCTGTCTCCGGCCAAGGTGATCTATTCTATTATAGTCAAGCGCGTAACCTGACTTATCATCTTGAGCGCATCTGTGATGAGTACAACCGCTGTATTCATGAAGCCGTTCCGTCATTGTCTGATTTGTTGTTGTCTCAAATCATCAAAGCCCGATACTTTCCGGAGGGTGATATTTTGAGCGCTGGAATAGGGACCCGATCATCGGCAACGTGGAGGAGTTTTCTTAAGGCGCGACCTGCCCCTATTTATGGCCTTCGTCGTCGGATTGGAGATGACACCGAGACATCCATCTGGACCGACTCATGGCTTCGGGATGATGGGCACTTTAGAATCATTACGAGGAGACCAACTCAAGGGCATTTCCCTGGAAAAGTTTCTGAAATTATTGATCAGACTTCGGGGTCATGGAAGATTGCACTTATCCAGCAAGTTTTTTGGCCTATTGATCATGCTCGGATTCTAGCTATCCCAGTGGGTAGCTCTATCGCGCGAGACCGTTGGGTTTGGCATTATTCACGAAATGGAATGTTTACGGTCCGCTCCTGCTACCATAGCATCATGAATCAAGGCGCTGCTCGGCATACTAAGAGCGAAGGGTGGTGGCGGTTCAGGTAGTGGAGTACAACAGAGGAATTGGAAATTCATATGGGGGCTGCCAATTCCCCCGAAAATCCGATTCTTCCTATGGCGAGCCTGCATGGAAATCCTGCCTTCGGGAGCTGAATGATTTCGTCGGAAAATCATTGCCTCTCCAGCTTGTTTCAGATGTGGAGCTTCGCCGGAAACAGTAGCTCATGTGGTTCAAGGGTGCGGTGGAATGGGCAGTGTTTGGAGTGCTTGGCCCTTCCATATCTGTGTCGGTGGGGACTCTATTACGATGTGGAGGTGGCTAGCATGTTTACATCAGCAGCTGGGCAATGAAGAGTTCTATCTCGCAATCATCATTGCGTGGAAAGCGTGGGACTCACGCAACAGAGAAATGCACGGGGAAAAGTCCATGTCAGCGTCGGAAATGAGGAATTGGAGTCGCAGTTATCTCAATGCTTACAGACAAGCACAACTGGCTCGGGTGCCCGGCGCAAAACAGCAATATATATGTTCAGACGTTCCGTCCGCCTCCGGAAGGAAGGATCAAGATCAACTTCGACGCGGCGCTTCCACAAGGACAAGACCGGTACATGGTAGCAGCAATTGCTCGGGACAGCAGCGGCCAGTGCCTTGGATGGAGATTCCGTTCGTTCACAGGCAAGATCCTACCGGTGGAAGGTGAGGCCTGCGCGGCAAAGGAAGCAACTATCTTGGCCGGATGGCGATCGGTAATCTTTGAAGGGGACAACTTGCAAATAATTAAGACTCTCAACGATGGCGATCTCTCTCTTTATTCGTTCGGACTATACTTAGAAGATGTGTTAGATTTCGCTACTTCTATTGATTTCTGTAAGTTTCATTTTCTTGGTAATAAGCTTGCTCATATGCTTGCTTCGCTAGGAACAAATCACTGTATTGAAGGCAATAGTCTTCCCCCGGAATTGGCGAGTTTCGCTCCTCTTTTGCTCGTTCAGGAACAACAAAGACCAGTACAGAGTTCTAAGAAAGCTATACGAAGTACGACTTTCACTTCGTCTTGGACGCAGTATGAATACTGGAAATGTTGATCGTAAAGAATCGTATTATATAATCCTTAACGGTAAACGAACTTCTCTAAAGGAAGAAGAATAAAGGAAAGTGAGCTGGCATGAATGGAAATTGATTTGTACTATATGGGAATCCAACGCCCAGTGATTTCGATTTTATGATAGAAGATGAGAATCTTTCTTTCTCGTCAAGTACCTCTTCAACTAGGTCGGACGCGCAAAGCGCTACACCTGAGTGTGAGCGGATATTTGATCAAATCTGTGATGAATACGCGGAGTGGGTGGTGAGAGCTAGGTAGTCCAAGAACAGATTGTTGAGTGTTTACAATGCCAATGCCGAGGGAGAAAAATGATAAGACCATAAAGCTGTTAGTCAAGCAAGAGGCTGTCTCCTTTTTCCAGCATCTTTTTTGTGGTGACCCTACTTTGGAAATAGAGTTGGTGGCAGAGATTATAGAGATTTTTTATTTCACCTTTTCCCAGGAGGACAGATGCCTTTTGTCCCTTTCCGTGGAAGCCGAGAAAATGAAAAGAACTAGGTTCCCCCTTAAAAGTAACAAGGCCCCGGGCCCTGATGGGTATTCTGCCCCTTCTTCAAACAAAAGTGCTTGGGAGATTGTGAGTCAAGATGTAATAGAAGCCATAAAGTCTTTAGTCTTTCTTTGCTTCAGGCAAGCTTCTAAAATAAGTTGACTCCATATTGTTTTGGTGCCTAAAGGTGCCTAATCCTACAGTCATGGGATATTTGCAGCCAGCCTATTTCCCCTTTCAATAGATCTATAAGTGTATTACCAAATTGATTGCTAATAGGATCAAAGGCTTCTTCCCAAGAGCATTACCCCACCCAGTCTGCTTTTGTTGAAGGGAGAAAGATTACAAATAAATAATGTCCTTTTGGCTCAGGAACTCTTTATCCTTAGATACTAGCACAGGAAAAGGGGGAAGCCTCGGTATGCCATCAAAATGGATTTTTTTTATAAAGCCTAGGACTCAGTGCATTGGGATTTCATTATGGGGATTTTGAAAGCTGTTGACCTTCCTGCCCATCTGATTGAGTGCATTGCGGTTTGTATCACTACTCCCAAGTTCTCGGTCTCCATCAATAGGGGGCTTGAGGGATCCACTTTCCCCTATCTGTTTGTTCTTGCTATGGAAGTCTTTTCCAGGATCCTTGCCAAAGCTTCTAGTAATGGAAGGTTCTCTCATCACCCGAGATTGACTAAGCTGGATTTGACTCACCTTTATTTTGCTGATGATCTCCTGTTATTCTGCCAAGTAGATCTCCAATCAACCTCTGTTCATTAAAGAGAGTTTGGATTCCTTTTCTTCTCTCTCAGGGTTGATGGCCAAATCCTGACAAAAAGAATATTTTTGAGTGTTGAGATGAATGAAGATGCTAAGCACTGAAACCTTTTTGGCTTCAAAGAAGGAACCTTGCACATCAAGTATCGTGGAAATAAGGGGCACTCGGGAATACCATTCTGATAGGGCTTCTAGAACTTCCTTCTTGACTCGTTTAAGCCTTCTCTTCCTTATGTCTTATCAATTCCTTTAAGGAAATGCAGTGAAGGAAATCTTTGGTAAGTCAGGTTTGCTGCATCTGATATTACCGCTCCGTGGGCTTATACTGTTTTGTTTGCCCTTCGTTCCAATCTATTTGACTTCGCTACGCACCTCCTTTGCTGCTTTAATCAAATTATTCTTGCTTTCGGCAGTCGCGGATTCAAGCTTTTCTCTTCCCCCGCTCGATCGACTTCAGTATGCGGACAGGAGGAGGATATGTGTGACTGTCACCTTCCATGCTATGAGAAGCACTACTCAGCCTTTTCCCCTTATTAGTAGCCGAAGTGTAGGCCAGAGGAGGCAGGTTTTCCAGAACTACTCTTCCTATTCTTGATGGGCCGGGCGATAGTTAGGTGGAGGGGCCTGCCAACAAGGAGTAGAACCCCCTCATTCCGATCATCCATGAGGCCAGGCCAACTAAGCGCTTTTTAGGGGGAATCAAGATCTTTCTTTATGGGTTGTAGATGCGAAAGCATCCCCTCTGAAACAATCATGAAGTGGCTGGTAGGAAAGCGGGAAATGGCAGTGGGAAGGGAACGGTCCGACATTGCCAAGGGCACAGCCAGCTACATCGATCTACCACGCTTATATAATAAGGGGAGCAGCAAGAAAGCATTCGTCAATCAGAATCGGTGCTCAGGCTACCCATGTACAACCTCCACCGATTGCAAAACGGAAGGAGAACTCACTGTCCAAATGGAGGGAAAGAGGGAGCCCCTGCGGGCCCCTTCTTCGCACTTCCATCAGCCAACTGGAGTGAAAGAAAAGCCCTCTTTTGCCCGCTACCTTAGTAAGACCTTATTTCTGAGCCTTCCCCTACTTCTTTTTGTCGGCTACCTAAGCAGTGATCCTTTATTCCAAACATATTCCCCTCTGTAGAATGTAGGGTGTCCAGTGGAAAGAAGAAGCAACCTTATTGAATTGAAGACTTTCATATTCTCAATCCTTTCATCTCAATCTTTCTCAGAAGAGGCACTATGCAGCTGGGCAGGCGTCAGCCTAAAGCTTGGTGGAAGAGAAGAAGCCTATCTACTATCTCAATCGGAAATTGTTGGATAATGAACTGAATGACTCAGTACTGGAGAAATCATGCGCTGCACTTGTTTGGACAGAAGCTCAGACACTACATGCTCTCCCATTTGGTCAAACTGATTTCCTGCATGAATCCCCTTAAGTACTTGTTTGAAAAACCAGCTTTGTCAAACAGGACCACTAAGTGGCTGATGATGCTGTCCGAATTCGAGATAGCATATGTCGTGCCTAAAGCTGTTAA